TACAAGGATGTTACTGAGATTGGAGCATTTGAGTTTTAAAAAAAGGGTGAATAGGCTGGGACTTTTTTCACTGGAGCCTAGGCGGTTGAGGGGTGACTTTATAGAGGTTTATAAAATCATGAGGGGCAAAGGTAAGTTGAATAGCAAAGGTCTTTTCCCTCAGGGTAGGGGAGTCCAAAGCTAGAGGGCATAGGTTTAAGGTGAGAGGGGAATAATTTACAAGGGACCTGAGGAGCAACATTTTCACACAGAGGGTGGTTCGTATTTGGAATAAGACTGCCGGAGGAAGTGGTAGATGCAGGTACAGTTACAACATCTAAAAGACATTTCAACAGGTACATGAGTAGAAAAGGTTTACAGGGATATGGGCCAAATGTGGACAAATGGATCTAGTTTAGTTTGGGAAACCTGGTCGTCATGGACGAGTTGGACCGAAGGGTCTGTTTCCATGCTGTATGCCTCTATGGCTCTGTGATTGTATTGATTATTGTAAAAAAGTCTAGTTCTAGACTAAACATCTAGTTCACTAATGTCCTTTAGGGAAGGAAATCTGCCATTCTCACCCAGTCTGGCCTACATGTGACTTCAGACCCACAGCAAAGGGTTTGACATTTAATAGCCCACGGTAAGTGTATATATGATGGTAACAAATGACAGCGATAGCCATATCCTAGAAAGAATAAAATGAATAGCTTGACGAGTCTCACAGTAGAGATATCACCTTCCCTATTGGGTCTATTTCTGAACTTAATGAATGCAAAACTCACTCAGTAAAAAAAAAAATAAAAACGCAGCTGAAACCAAACCAGAAAGAAAGCTTTTCTCTGCGAAAGGTCTGACTTCCGATATGTAGAAAGTTAAGAATAATTACTCCACACTTTGACTCACAGCCGAAACTCATGTGTAACACTTCCTTCTTTCACAATACTTGCTGCCAGCAAAGCTAACACTTCACTAAGAGGGTTACCAAATCGAACATGCTTCCCAGACTCTCTCTCACACCTGCAAACCTTGCCCAGGGGTTTTTGTTCTGGAAACTTCTTCTATCGACACAATGTCTGCTGATTATTTTTATTGTAGCCCTAACTCTGCTGCTTCACTCTGGAATACATTGTGGGGCAGTCACATCCTTACCTTATCTCACGCACACCACTTCTTTATGATTTAAAACAATCTTTAAAACACCAAACCACCCATCTCTTCCCACCAATCAAACTCCAACTCCCTAAAACTAGCCAACATAAGTTATCTTTCTTTTCTTCATTGTTGCTGGCTAGAATAGCATTTATTGCCCATCCCTAGTTGCCCCTGGAGAAGGTAGTGATGAGCTGCCTCCTTGAGCCGCTGTAGTCCTTGGGCTGTAGGTTGACCCACAATGCCGTTAGGGAGGGAATTATAGGATTTTGTCACAGCGACACTGAAGGAACGGCACTATAAGACCATGACACATAGGAGTAAAAGTAGGCCATTCAGCCCATCGATTCTGCTTGGCTATCCAAGGCGATCATGGGTGATTTGATAACCCTCAATGCCTTATCTCCCTAAGCCTTGATTTTCCTTATTAACTATATCAGCCTTAAATATATTTGAGAATGCAACCTCTACAGGCCTGGGTGGGAAAGAGTTCCGCAGATCCAGAATTGTCTGAGAGACAAAAATTCCTCCTCATCTCTGTCATAACTGGGTGCTTCCTTATTGTGAGATTATGCTGTCTGATCCTTACGAGGGGAAACAATTTCTTCACATCTACTCTGCCAAGCCCTTGTAAAACGTTATAATTTCAATGAGGTATCCTCTCATTCTCCTGAATTCCAGTATTTCCAAGTCAGGGTGTGAGCGGCTTGACATGGAATTTGCAGCTCATGGTCTTCCTGTGTCTCTGCTGCCCTTGTCCTTCCAATTGTGAGATGTCATGGGTTTGGGAACTGCAGTCATAAAAGCTTGGTCAGGTTGCTATGGTGCAACTTATAGATGGTAACACTGCAGTGTGCTCTAATGGTTTGTCAGTCAATCAGTCCTGATGGCTGAGAGGCTCCCCATTACCTCACTGGTTGTGAGACCAGCTGTCTGCACATTCCGATAACTGCTTCTGTCATGGGCATTGGGAAACACCACATCGAGTGAAAGGGAAAACCTTTGCAAAGTATCATAACATTTGATGAGAAGTCTTGGGCAGCTGAGAAAGAAATGTTATTTTTATCTTCCTGAATTTTTACTCTAATTTTTTTTTGCACTAACTTCAGAACCTCTTCCGTTGCTGACTCTGTGCTGAGTGGGGAGTTTGCAAAATCTGCACGCAACTCAAAAATAGAACATGCAAGACCAGAATCACAATGTTTACATTGGTGTGCTTGTTTACCCCGCTAACAAAATTCCTTGAAGTTGCTTTCTAGTTGGCCAAGGCTTGGGGCAGGAGGAGGGACTACAGAACTTTGTGACACGGTAACAACTAGTAACAGTCTGGGAAGAGCCCACCAGTGCCAACTGGAGAGACAATCACCCAGAGGGTGTGCAGGGCAGTTGAGGCAGGAAACCTCACAATCTTTAAAAAAGTACTTGGATGAGCACTTGAAGCATCGTAACACTCAAGGCTATGGGCCTTATGTGGGAAAGTAGAACTCGTGTAGTATAGTAGTGTACTTCTGGAGGTAGACCCTCCCCGAGTGCTAACTCTGCCCACTGGAAAACCCACTGGCGGAGTGTTGGGGTGTTGGTGAACAACCCAGAGTCACAAAGCAATCATCGAGATCTACATTTGGAGAAATGCAAGGTATTGCATTTTGGTAGAACAAACAAAGACAGGCCTTATACAGTTAATGGTAAGGCCCTGGGTAGAACAGAAAGACCTAGCGGTTCAGGTACATAATTCTTTGAAATTTGCGTCACATGTAGACCAGGTGATTAAGAAGGCGTTTAGCACGCTTGCCTTCTTTGCTCAGTCCTTTGAATTGGGATGTCATGTTGTGGTTGTACAGGACATTGGTGAGGTCTCTCCTAGAATATCATAGAATATATCATAGAATCCCTACAGTGTGGAAGCAGGCCATTCGGCCCAACAAGTCCACACCGCCCTTCCGAAGAGCATCCCACCCAGACCCATTACCCTAATTTCCCACGTCTAACCCACCTAACCTAAACATCCTTGGGCACTATGGGTAATTTAGCACGGCCAATCCACCTAACCTGCACATCTTTGGACTGTGGGAGGAAACCGGAGCATCCAGAGGAAACTCATGCAGATACGGGGAGAATGTGAAAATTCCACATAGACAGTCGCCCAAGCTTGAGTCGAACCCAGGACACTGGCCCTGTGAGGCAGCAGTGCTAACCATTGAGACACCATGCCGCCCCTGTGTGCAGTTCTGGTCACTCTGTTGTAGAAAGGATATTATTCAACTGGACAGGGTTCAGAAAATATTTACCAGGATGTTGCCAGGAACGGAAGATTTGAGAAATATAAATAGACTAGAAAGACTGGGACTTTTTACACAGGAGGGGAGGAGGTTTATAAAATGATGAGGGGCATAAATAAGGTGAATGACAAGGGTCTTTTCCTTAGAGTGGGGGAGTTCAAAACTAGGGACATATCTTTCAGGTGAGAGGAGAACGATTTAAAAAGGACATGAGGGGCAACTTTTTTTACACAGAGAGTGGCTCATGTGTGGAATGAACTGCCAGAGGAAGTGGTGGACGTGGGTGCAATTACAACATTTAAAAGACATTTGGATAAGTTCCTGAATAGGAAAGGTTTGGAGGGATATGGCCAAGTGCAGGCAGTTGGGACTGGTTTAGTTTGGGATTATAGTCAGTGTGGACTGGTTGGACCGAAGGGTCTGTTTGCATGCTGTAACATTCTATGACTCTATGACTCCAGATCACAAAAAAAAGGTCTTTCAGCCCACCGAGTCTGCACCAAGTCAAAAACAATCATCTATCTATTCTAATCCCGTAGTGTTGTATGCCTTGGCATCATGAATGCACATCTAAATATTTCTTAAATGTGATAAGGGTTTCTGACTCT